GACGCTCACAAACTACGCCGACCCGGCGGTAAAATAAAAATAAGAAACTAAAAAAAGAATAGTAACAAGTGACTAACTACGAGGCTCTCTAAACGTAACTAACCTCACCGCGTTCTAAGATACCGCTGATAATTCAGCAAACTTCTGAATATTTCGTTGAAAGATTTAACTATCTACTGAGGCAAGCCGAAACGCGTGGTTCTTTAATTTCTAACTAGCCACCTCCACGCTCGTGAAGCAAGAAAGCACACCTTCGAACTCGTTTCCCTTCTATTTAACTCAGATTACTTCCGCTGACAATTTGTTCTTGCGCGTTCTACTAAAATTTACATACTCTGGCATTGGCAATTCCAGGGGAAAGTAAGGCTTGACAGGAAAAATAGTTTAAACTTAAAATAAATGTTAGTTAAAATAAATATAAACCCTACAAGCTATACACAAATAAAGGCTGGCGGTGAGATGAACAGTTTAGAGCTTAAGAAACATTTAACGTTTACCTCTCACCTAGGAGCCAACCGAACTTGGAACTATAAGGTAAAATTAAGTTACAGTTTTCATACGAATTTCATTCAAAATACTTTTTTCCGCTCTATTCGATGGCGCAGACAGTCAAATTCTGATACATAAAGAATATAATGAAAATAACTAAACGTTTGACGAAGATATGCACGAAAGTCATTAAACAAAGATATGCGTTGTCCGTTAAACGAAGATATGCTCGAAAGTCGTTTAAAATCAAATTAAAAAACGTCTAAATCGAATTTTGAAGACATCGCTTCATCACATTGCATTATCATCGACAAACAGTTTGTGTATAAAATTTGGTCTCGATAGCATATCAAGAAATAGATTAAAAATTGATGACAAAATTTCAGCTATAGTGAAACACATATGAATAAATGCTTATAAAAATATAAATGAAGCGTTTATTTATTTTCATTATATTCTTTACGTGTTTAGCCGTACTTCTCGATATGTAATTTTAAATCTTATTTTATATCTTGGGTGTTAACAACCTCCAATTTTATGCTCCACTGTGAATGTTATTTCATATTTGTTCTCCAATTCTCCTCATTGAAACGATTGTCACACTTAGTTGCCAGAGCTGCAAACGTTTATGTAATATTTTAAAATATCTCGAAGGGCTTATACGATGGCTTCTTTACCAAGAAAGCACTTTATACACTTCAATATCTGTAATATACTGATTAAATGGTGATAATACCTGAGCATTTTCTGCTGTGAGTATTTGGATTAGATTATTTGTTTATCTATGAGTTTGAGTTGCTAGCATTCTAGGGCTCATGTGGCAGATGCCCATGTTAACAAGTACAGATGTCGAAATGCAAAAATCATGTAATTGTTGACTCATGCTGAAATACCTCTGAAATAGTATTTGAATACTTACCCTTTTCTAAGTGACAAATTTCTTTAACGAGCTCTCGCTGTTTATCATTAATGTTTTCCAAAATGTTCTCTTTAACGAGAAATTACAACGGTAAAGTTTTTCTAAAATGCTGTCTCTAACGAAAAATTACCACAGTAAAGTTTTTCAGAAATGTTTTCTCTAACGAGAAATTATCACGGGGAATTTTGTCTGATTTAAAAACTGCTTTCCTATTAAAATGGTCACACCCTAAGACTTTGTCTACATTTCCAATCGGCATGTTACAGATTCAGCTATTAAGTTTGTCAGTTCAGGCGACTGAGCACGACAACAACAAGGAAATGGCATTTAAAATTTTGCGTGCATCTTTTTAATCAATACTGTTCTGTTATACCGAGTCACATATTTTTGGTGGTCAATTTTTGGCGGCAATAATTTTAGTTGGCATCCAAAGATTTTCATTGACATATTCATAAACCTTATCTACTGGTGCGCCGAATTTTCCAACAATTCTTAAATATTACTGAGTTGTGGGTAATTAAAGTACTTACATATTATCCCTCTGACTATTGGCGGAAATTTCTCTTCCTCTAATTACTAGTGTTTACTTCTGAATTCTAAACGACACGATCATCCATAATTGACACTAAATCACGATAATTGGCCGGTCGATGGGACAGTACATTCGTGCTCGGAAAATAAGCAACAAACGCTAAAAGAAGAGGCGTAGAAAGAGGAATTAAAATATGCAATTTACATATTATTTAGTGATTGCATCACCGAATGCAAATAGGCAACTAAAATAAACATAAACGCCATCCCGTAGCCATACCACAACACCTTAAAAAGGCGTCTGCAGGACCTATGCATCAGTTCGCAAACAGCAACAGTCCCACGTAATCCGACATAGCCAAAGCGGAAAGCATGAGCCAACGACACCATTTGCACGATGAACGGCGTTAGAGAGCTGTAAGGATGTTGCAAGCTGGTGCAAGATAATCTGCTGTTGCTAGAGGGCTGAATAATCCATCGCAGTGTCCTCAACAGGCTGTGGGATCGTTACCAAAGGGATCAAAACCCTGTAGAAGACTTGGGTCTGAACGCCGGAGGATTACCACAACAGCAAATTATCTTTTCCTGTTGCTATGTGTAAGACGACGTAGGCACGTAATTTGTCGTCGCATCTCTCTAGTGCTGCAGGTGGCCCATATCCCGCCAAACTGTTTCGCGTCGACTGCATGAAAGGGGACTGTACACCCGACGACCTATGGTTTGTGTTCCTTTGTCCCCATCACATGTCAGAACATGGTAGAATTGGGGTTGGGAACATCACGGTTAGACACCAGAGCAGTGTGACTACGTACTCTTTACGGATGAGTCACTCTCGATTTAACATCCAGAATGATTCCCAAAGGGCAATGATATGGCGAAAGCCAGGGACACGCTGTTTGACTTCAAGCATCGTCGAAAGAGACCATTGCAGAGGAGCAGTCTTACTGGTATGGGTGGGATAGCAGTGATTGGCCGCGCGGACCTCTACGGGATTCCTAGTGGTTCTGTCACAGGCGTCCGATATTGCGAGAAAATGCTACACCCTTTTGTGGATATTTTTATAGAACAATGGGTGATATTTATGGAAGATAACACAAACCCGCATAGAGTTCGAATAGTCAGGAGTTATCTGGAGGGAGAAACTATTCCACATCTACCATAGGCTGCTATATCCCCGGCAATATGGGACTCCTATAGCTGCTATATCTGGACCAATATCCTAATTTGAATCCCATACAGCATGTGTGGGACATATTGCAAGACGCATAGCATGTCGTAGTTGGCCATCAGGCATCCTACACGAGCTGCGACGTGTATTATTACAGGAATGGAAGCTACTTCTACAACAAGCTATCAACGACACTATTGCCAGCTTGCCTCACCGTTGTCAAGCATGCATTGAGGATATCAAACCCGTTATTAGTGTGATGTTTCCATTGCACATTATTCCGACTCATTTAGTCTTCCACAATGTAATGATCGTAATACATGTGTTTTTGCATGTCTTTACTTTATTGTTTGCTGTGTAGTCTAGTAATGCCACATCACCCTCGGGTTTCAAGTGTTAACCGCACCCCAATGATTAATCGCCAAATATTTCAAGGTTCATTGTAATTTATGCTATTCTGAACATTTCCCTAGCTATTATTAGATAGTTTTCTTCCTTTAGAATCTGAGAAAATTTGTTCCTTACTTTTGATTTATATGGATCTCTGGAGCTTAGCTCGAAATAAAACGGACACAGTTCGCTATCTGCAGATTTACGCATACTACCGGGAAAACAAGAATGCCAACTTTCGCACTTAATGAAGCTATACGTCAAAGAAAATCGCATTTTTTGGAAGTATAACATCCGTACATGCCGAAAAAGTATTAGAATGCATGTAGGAAACTGCTTCGAAGGAGGTCGAATAACATTCACAACAACTCTTCGTTTCATATATTGCTGGTGTGAACGGTAACATTGGTCAAGTTCTGCAAAAGGGAACTAAAAATTACCGATAAAACGATAGTGGATTGGAACAACTATCTTCGTGAGAAGTGCATTCTTGAAACGGTGACAGCAAAAAATGAGGAAATCTTCGGCATCGGATGCATTGTGAAGATCGACGAAAGCATGTTCACGCGATACAAAAATAATGCTGGAAGAATGCTGCCTCCACAGCGCATTGTTGGGGGCATTTTTTGCGAAACTAAAGAAAGATTTCTTGTAATGGTCCCCGATCGTAGTGCCACTACACTAATGAATGAAATTAAGGAGAACATTAAAGAAGGAACAACCATCTTTTCCGACTGTTGGAAGATGTTTAAAGCAGAACTCGAAACATCTGGGTATATCCATTATAAAGCAAATCACAAACATAACTTCGTCGACCCTGAAACTGCCACACACAAGCAATATATAGAACGAATATGAGAAAGTGCTAAATGGCGAAATAAAAAGGCACCGTGGAACAGTTCGCCACCACCTCGAGTCCTTTCTAGCGTAGTTTCTCTGGAGCAAAAGACAAGCTATAAATGATATATTCGATGTCCTCCTAAAGACAATCGCTAAATATTTTCTGCTGGAAACTAGTATTCGCTAATAGGGTGCTTTTAATACTGAAGAACTCTAACCTCTTGTTTCCAGCTTAAACATAATAGTTTTTGTTTCATTCCATTTGTTGCTTATTTTTTAGTATAAGTACCGTAATTACCTCCGATAAAATTTTTTGCAGTTCTGGTTTTAGCTATTCTTTTGAAGATTGAGAAAATACTCCTGTATTTGTTCCTTGACAGATGCCATCGACAATTTTTGTTCAACTACATGAATTAGTAAAAATATAAGTTTCATTAGCAATTTTTTCCTTTTGCATGGCATTAGTTTGCATAGTAATTCTCTCAAGTAAATTCACGTTTTCTGAATTAAATTTTTTATTTTCACCTTTAATTCCTAGATTTGATTTTTTTTTTTTTTTTTTTTTTTTTTTTTTTTTTTTTTTTTTGCGCCAAAAATATGTGTTTCGTCATAACTGATAAACATCCTTTCATCTATTAAAATTATACTTGCATAAGTGTATACCTGTTGAAAGAACTTATGCAATCGCTACGTGGTTTACCATAACAGACAACAAGAACTGTCGATGCGATGGGCGCATGAAGTATTACACCTGCACACGAAACTTTAGAAGCTAGATCCAAGGTGGCTGTAGCTCCAATATCTTGTCCATATAAAATTATATTTTCTGGGTTTGGTCTAGTTAAAGCATAATTCCATGCTGCTCGTATGTCCTCATAAAGATTTTCCTCGGATGGTTTGCCTTCACTGTGACCGTATCCTGAGTAATCATAAGTGACTATATCACACCCTGTTACAAAACTCAGAAATGCACAAAAGCTATGCATTTGCCCAATATCAGTACTCCTCCCATGGCTGTAGATTAGAGTATAACGAGCTCTAATAGAACATGTCAAGAACAGAACAACTATATCATTCCCTAGGGTTGTCTTGATAAAGCGAACATCCTGTTTCATAATTTTCATCATGCCACTAGTGTCAACTTCAGATGACATTTTCAAAATGTACTCAGACGGTCGTGTTTCTATAGGCAGAACTTCGTAAAAAGGTGGTGAAGGCGGCTTTAAAACTACCTTTTTTGCAGTACACTTTAAACAACAAAAGCAACTGCTGAACTTCTTGAAAATTTTGTCTTTGGGCATTTTTTTGGACCGAAAAGGATAAAAAGAAAGCTCTTTAGGAGCAGATATAGGACTAATTTGAAGATTGATGTAAACAAACGTATTTCGTTACGCGCATAAAAGAGCATTGCCATACTTTCGTGCGGTCAATGTTCATTTATTAGAAAAGTTTAAAAAAGATAACAATATCTAAAACCATATTTAATTGCTAAATTGCAGCAAACATGTCTTATGATATAATCTAAACGTGATTTCTTAAATTAAATTTGGCATCATTTGTTTTGAATGCAAAATATGCCCTGTGTTATTTCTATTATTCTGTATTAACAATTTAATTTTGATGTTAGCGCTATTAAATTGGCAACACAACAAAATGTTTTGATTCTAAATGCTGAAGTTTAGAATTTTTTAATGTAACTGTATGTTTGTTTTGAATATAAGCCGTGTAATCAGAAGGTGGACGTGTTACATAAACTATCTAGTATTTTTATAAATGACTCATTGGTTCATTTATAAAAAATATACTTGAGTGCCTCGAGTTGTCTCTTGAGGACCTTTACAAGTCTCCTAAGCTAGTTTTCGATTTTCTGAAGGTGAATAGACTCGTGGACCACGTCTAGTATATTCCTAGACAGGGAGATTAGTAACAACAACAACAACATTATTTTTATTTATCAATAATTTTATTTTGATGTTATTATTCTCGGATTGGCAACGCAAAAAATGTGTTTTAATTCTAAAAGCTGAAGTTTATCATTTTTAAATTCACACGGCGTTATGTAAGCCAAGGGTGAATAAAATCTGCTCTGAAGTAAAGATGTAATGATGAACAAGTTACCAAACTCTGAATTGCATTAAACTTTGGAGTCAGAAATTTTCGGGTAATCAATTACTTGAAACACACTGCGACTTTGTGGAGATCCGGACTGATCTTTGAGTCAGTTAAGTAGAATAAACTTTTCTAATTTAAATTCAAAATAATATAGGAATTATAAAATAATGAATGGATTAGTAAGAAAACGGTGCTACTTTGGTAGACGGTTGCACGGATATTTGGAGATTTACTTTGGCGCAATTGATGGCGCGGTTTTTACAATCGTCAGCCATCTTGAAAAACGTTGTTTTTACGTATTTTGCGCATAGTAAAGTATTCGAAACTTTAAAAAAATAAATATTGTTAGAAATAATGGATTAATCTTTTGTTGAAAAAGTTGTTTTTTTAAAATGTAAATAAATACATTTACTACGAGTATAAAATACTAAAGTAAAGTTAAATTATTACTTTCATATAGTAAATAAATAGAATAAAAGGTGCTTTTTCATTTCGCCTGCGCAAATCTCACCAAGCAGACTTTGTTGGCGACAGCATGCAATGTACACATAAAAAATGTTAATAAATGTTAGTTCTAAGAATTTTTTATTTTGAAAGCATAAATATTTTAATATGATTTGAATTTTTGTAAAAAGCCAATAAATAAAGACAGTAAAGATCCTTTCCTTATTTCAATATAATGAATATTGAATCTTGTAGGAAGAATAAAGCTAATTTTCAGAATAAACAAAATACTTTTATTTAAATTTCAAAACAGAACCAAAAAAAATAAATATTGCAGCTCTAACTCTCAAAATTTTAAACTCTTAACTACTGCAGTTAAAACTCTTACAACTATTAAAAAAAACTCCCATCTTAAACTCTCTCTAAAACAAAATATATATAAAAATCTTTCGAATCCTTTTCTTGTTGCCACACCGTAAAATGCAAGTTCTTGTCCTATTATTTATATTTCACGTTCTCTTTAAGTCACGATCTTCACAAGTCATGATCTTTACAAGTCACGATCTTTACAAAGACAATTTGTAAAAAGACATTAATTTAAGAATTTACTGTGCTTTCATGGTTCAACAGCCTGATTCGCCGGTTCGTATCACGTGACTCCAAGTGATCTCATCTCACGTAAACTACGCTCCAAAAATCTAATTCTCTCAGTAATTATCTACATTAATTTCAAGTTAAATCTTAATTTGAAATACAAGTTTAAATGCACGAATTATTTCAATTCGTACGAATAGCTTACTCAGAAATTATGTAAAACCGCAGTGCTTTACTTCGCTTCTTTTTTAGTGGTAGGCTTAGACAGATTTCTGATGACTTCTACTTTCTCAGGATCTGGAGAGTGAGTGCCAGAACCTATTACATGTCCTAGAAACTTCACGTGGCTCTTTCCGAAATCACACTTTTCTAGATTTGCGGTTAGACCTGCGTTTCTCAGTGTCTGAAACACTTGGTCGATGTGATAGAGGTGGCCATCCCAAGTTTCAGAAAATATTGCCACATCATCAATATATGAACGGCAGTAGTTCTTATGGTTTGCAAGCACCTTATCCATCGATTTTTGGAAGGTACTTCCAGCATTTTTCAAACCGAAAGGGAGAACTTTCCATTGGTATGGCCGGAATGAGTGATAAATGCTGTGTAGGGTTTAGCTTCTTCTTCATAGGAATTTGCCAATATCCCTTGGTTAAATCGAGAACTGTTATGAATTTGGCTTTCCCTATTTTCGAATAGTAAATCTTTAGCAATTTCATCGGATAGGCGTCCGGAATTGTGAAGCTATTTAAAAGCCTGAAGTCTATGCACAGTCCTAACGCCGCCATTCTTTTTTGCAACACATACTATAGGATGTGCCCAGTTACTGTCACTGGGTTCTATAAGATCCCATTCTAACATTTCTTTAACTTGACGATCGACTTCCTCTTGAAGTGAAACAGGAACACGGTAGGGCCTCAATCTTTTCGGATTACATCCTTCTGTAACCTTGATGTCATGACCATCAACATTGGCTTGACCAGGTTTGCTACTGAAAACATCTACATAAGATTTAGTACTTTAAATAGTCCTTCCCGTTGGTAATATTTTAAGTCACCTTTCAAATTTTGTAAATGGGTCCCAGATATCATCAGCAGATTTATTCATAAGATCTGCTGGTGCATAGTGGATATCTCCAAACTCTTCATCTTGGTCAAAAATGATACCAACGTGATCTACACGAGCAATATATGGCCTTAACTTATTTATATGGAGTTCCCTAATACTTCCGTTTTCCATTTCGATTTTGGCAGAGTGTGGCCTGGTAAGTTTGATCACGGTAGCTGGTCCTTTGCCACGTGTTGAGCAATTTATGTGATGATGATGGCATTAACACGAGGACTTTGTCCCCAACATTGAAAGTCTTTTCTTGAGAACGTAAATTGTATCTTGAAGTGTACTCTTCTTGAGATATTTTGGAATTTGCTGATGCAATGTCATGAGCTTTTCTTAATTTTTCTAAAAGGTCTTGTAGATAATTTTCAATTGAACGGGAAGCTGTAACTGGAATGCTACGTTCACCTGTCCATATTTCTTTCAGCAAAGATAATGGTCCTGGTGGTATTCTTCCATATACCATCTGGAAGGGAGACAAACCAGTGGTGCTATGTGGCACTTCTCTGTAGGCAAACAGGAGATAGGGAAGATTCAAATCCCCAGTTTCTGCCATGTGTTCTTGGATTTTTGTTCATCATCTCTTTTAAGGTTTCTATTCCCAACGCTCGACAGCACCCATACTCTCGGGGTGTCCTGGAGTGGAGAATCGTGGAGACACACCAAGTAAGTTCTCAAAGGCTCGGTGAGTTTGGCTGTGAAATTAGTTCCCTGGTCGGAACAAATCACTTTTGGAAATCCAGTTTGAGTAAAAAACCTCATCAAAACGTTGCATGTTGTTTTCGCACTTATGTCTTTGACGGGGTGGCTTCTGCCCCATCTGGTGCATAGGTCAACAGCACAATATCACAAACCGATGACCCTCCTGGATGGAGGTTCTAATGGCCCGATACAATCCACGCTCCATACTTCAAAGGGTGTTTCCGGCCTAACAATAGGTTGAATTGGATTCGATCTTTGTACGTAACTGTTCTCCTCAATTGGCATTCTTACAACTTTTCACAGAATTTTTTTAACATCTTGCTTAATAGTAGGCCAAAAGAATGAGTACTTGATTCGTTGAATTTGTCTTTTTCTCACCGAGGTGGCCGGCAAGAAGGATTTCATGTGCCATTTTTAGGACTTCCCTTCTTTTTTCTAAAGGTAATACAACTTGCTTAATGTTTTTCACCACAGATATATTCGGAATGAAGTAATATGCCATCATCGAAAGTATATGAATTTTGATTTTTATTTGCCCATTCAAAGCATTTTTTCAGAGTTTCGTCTTGTTCTTGATGTGTCTTGAATTCTAGTCTTACCTTGTTCGTTGTTTTCAGAGACTCTATGTTTTCTTGGGAAATCTGATTAACAACAGCCAAATTTGTAGTAATGTCTTCAACTGGTGAGGGTTTATCATCTGTCTCTTTGTACTCTAAGGGGGATGCATCCCAATGACGATCACAGTTCCACAGTTCGATATTTCCACAGAGTGTTTCATAAGCTGAAGAACTCAATAGCAGTCGGTAACTAGCTTTTTTGAAACAGCACACGTAATGGACACTCTAACCGTGAAAATCATCGTCAATTTTCATCTGGAAAATCTTTAGTGGAGTAATTTCGTTTTTCACCAAAAGCAGAGATATCTCTATTTTACTTTCTCCTTCGCAAGGTATGTTGTCAACCAATTTCTCACGGACTACTGAAATTTGTGCTCCCGTGTCTACGATTCCATTTAGAATAATATCTCCACATTTAACTTTGACCAGTTTTAATTCATCTATGTTTCTAGATACGTCCACTGATTTTGAGACAGGAATAGAGATCTTGGCAGTTAGCACTTCTGGTTTTTCTTTTTCTGTAAGGGGTGCTTGTGTTTGTATTAAGTTGTTTTGTGCTGTTGCAGAAGCACTTCTTGGTATCCGATTTTTGGTACATAACTTAGATGTATGACCTTCTTTTCCACAATTATAGCAAGTTAATTTGAAATTAGTCTTTTGTGGTTCGTCACTCTTACGGGATGGGTACACTCTTGGCGTGTTTTCAGCGTACAGCGATTTATTTCTGAAAGCTC